ACAAGGAATGAACTTGGCCCGCAACTATGGCCTCCCCGAAGTGCACAAGGAGGGTGGACCTCTCCGATCCATCGTATCACTGAAAGGCACTCCAACGTACGGACAAGCAAATTGGCTGTTTCGGCGTCTCAAATTTATGACCGCTGAATTGGAGACCACGGTCCGCTTATCAATACCATTCTTAGAAAATATTAACGGGTTAAGTCTCCCGGCAAGTGATGTCATTATTTTCTTCGGTGTCACGTTCCTATTTACTTCTATCCCTCAGGATCTGGCAGCAGCATCCATCGACCAACTCCTACGAAATAAATACGATAAGACAGAGAATCACCTTGGACATGCTCAAATCCTACAGCTCCTTAAGTTCTGTCTGAGCACGTACTTCACATTTAACGGAACAATCTATGAGGGGACGCAAATGGGTTCACCGATCTCGGGACTCGTAGGCGAGGCAGTACCACAATGGCTGGAGTCGCTGGTCTTCCAACATCACAGACCGAAATTCTGGGCGGGTTATTTGAATGACACCTTCGTCGTCAATAGTGGAGAATATGCAAGTTCCAGGAAGTAGTTCAGAAGAAGAGGATTCGATCACTGGAACAAGAGTTTTATTTTCATGACGTTTCGGGATTCGTCGGGAATCCTTAATCATAACTTATGGTAGCATGGTCATAGTTTGCGTATGACTATGAGTACGCTAACATGACCTATGATTAAGGATTCCCGACAGAATCCGAAACGTCAGGAAAATATAACTCTTGTTCCAGTGATCGCATCCCCTTCTTCTGAACCTTCGTCGTCATCGAACAGGATCAGGTACTCATGTTCAAGAAACGTCTCAAAAGCGTCTTTCCGGACATCCAATTTACGATGGAGGAGGAAGAGAACAACCAGCTGGCCCTCCTTGATGCACTCGTCTGTCGCAAAGATTGTGATGGCCTAAAGACTAAACTATTCAGGAAAGCGACAAACATGGTGCAAGTACTGAATTACAACAGCAACCACCCAATCAGCCACAAACGCAGTTGCGTAAGAACGCTCTATCGGCGTGTTGAAACGCACTGCAGCAAACCAGAAGGTAAAGTTGCCGAGTTACAATCGCTTCGATGGGTGCTCAGAGAAAATTAATAACCGCGCAACTTCATCAACCGAAGATGGCCAACGAATCCGCACCGACCCCAACATTTGGCGAGCAATCCCGTACAATAAAACGTCTTCCGGCGATGTTGGCGGCCTTCTCGCAGTATTTGGAGTTGGAGTCGCACGCAGGCCGAAGGCAATCATAAGGCATCAAATAATGAAAACCAAACACCCACTGTCATGGCAAGAAGCATCTGGAGTCGCCTACATGATTTGGTGCAGTTGCGGGCAAAGTAACTATGTCCGAGAAACTGACAGACTTCTCAAGACGCGAATTGTCGAACACGCGGTAGCATTGGGCCGAAATTATGCCAATTCTTAAGTTGCGACTCATTCGACGAGACCCGGTCACAAATTCATATTTGATGAGGCCGAAATAATCGCAAGGGTTGATAATCGGGTGGGCCGAGATTTACTTGAGTCATGGTTCACGGGCCCCCAATCCGTAAACAAGTTTG